TCAGGATTAGGGAGCAGGAGGAGGAGGAGGAGGAGGAGGGGAGGGCAGCCGCGGAAAGCAAGAGGAGAAGTGGGGGGAGAGAGAAAACTGAAACAATATGGAAAGGAGATTAGAAAAGTGGGGGGTTTGGGCTGTTTGGGGAATTGCAGTCTCCCTTGTGCTTGGGTAGGTGTCCTAATGACACCACCTAATTATGGCAAAATTAGACAGGCTAAAGGGAATGGGGTAGTGAGAAGAATGAAAGAAAAAAAAAGAGGAGCCAGGGAATACGGAAGAAAGAAATAGTAAGAAGCAAATGGAAAGAGCAAGAGGTGCTGGTGTCTACAAGCAGGCTGAGAGTGTGAGAGGAAGGAATAAAGAAGGAGAAAAAAGGGGTGGAAAGCTGTGGCTGGGCGAAAGGAGCCAGTGGGCCCCCAGCACGCTGCATGTTAATTGGAGAACAGGTGTTGGGGCTGGGAGCAGGAGGCTGATTATTGGAGCCACAGAAACACACACGACTGCAAACACACACACACATACGAACATGAATAATTTAAGCTCCAAGCACTGACTTGGGGGGGGTGAGGTCATAGTAAGGGTCACACAGACTCACAGGCAATCGCTCATACATCTATATACATACATAAATAAAGACACAAACACTAAAAACATACATCTTTCTCTGTGTGTGCACACAAACATGCTGGCGACACACATACACGCATTGTGTCCTGCCAATCATTTTACTTTCCCACTCCTTTAGCAGAAACAAAACCGAGAATGAAAGGGCGTAAGGGCTAACGCTGAAAATCCACGGGCTTATCAGAAATTAACGGCCTGCTAATTGGCTGCTCCCTCTGGAGAGGGTTTACGATGGAGAAGCCCCCTTCACGAAAATGCCCAGAGTGATTAGAGACTACAGTAGGTCAGAGATTTCATTTAAATCAATCCCTAAAAGCTGCACGGACAAAACAAGTCGCAAAAACAAAAACCCTGCTCAGCCCTCATCAGGAATACGTCACGATGCTCACAAACGTTCATCATGTTGTGAGGAACAATGATGGAGTTATTGTGGGAGTAATGCGCCACAGAAAATTTAAAAAGCAGCTGCTCTGGTGTATTCTGGGAAAATTCAAAAGACAACAGGCCAATTTTTTTTCCGTTATACAAAAAAAACTATCTTCAGCTGAGATCCTCTGAGACGCACTGTCAACAGTCAGCCAGCTCGAACTGAGGAGGGGAAGGAAAAGGGTCCTTGACGTATATGAAGTGAGTGTTTCCTTGACAGACATTTGCGAGTAAGAAGAGAGGGGTGAGGAGCAGAAGGCAGGAGCGAGTGGATGAGCGAGGAAGAAAGAGGTGATGAAGGTCTCTGACATCACAGAGGAACTATCTCACACAGCGCCTCGTGCTTTGCTCGTGAGCATTTATCACGCGGGGTAATGCCACGCAGACAGAGGAAGGCCTCCGCAGAAAGACGGGGACGTGAAGACTCTCGCACACGCTGATTACAGAGGCAGTCATTCACCGTTAGGGCTGGTAACTGGCTGTCAGGGYAAGCATTTATCACACCTGATGAAAGATACACATGCTTCTGATAAAAGGAAAATCTTTCTTTATGTCAGGTTTCAGGGCAAATTGTTCTGCAAAGGCCTGAAGACAGAGCAACAAGTAAACACAAAGTTGTGCAGGAAAGCTGGTGTGTTACAGCTGGCATTAAAGAAGTGTAAAATGACACTAAACATCATAGATGTTTGTGAGGTTTTGGACAGTGTGTAAGTTTCATTTTATTACCTGTCAATGATGACTGGATCAGAGGGTGTCTCGTTTCGATTGCCACAACTTTTCTTCTCGCAGCAGCGACTGATTTGGTGGAAACAGGGAAACAAGAAAGGGGGAAAAGTCAGTACTGGAGGGGGAAAAAACGAAAACTAAATTAAACAGGAGTATAGCCAACATTTGTCTGGCCCATCCACAGCCACAGGCCCAGACAACTCTGCCCTGCGGTCGGCCAAAATCCAGGAGCACACAAAGGAGGCAGGAGAGGGGAGGGGAGGAACGGACAAAAGAATAAAAAAAAGAAGAAGAAAAGGTACAACAACACACCCTACAAACAGTGAGAGACCATTCAAAAGTGAAAAGCCAGCCAGGCAATCTGTCACATTGATTCTAAAATCAAACTCAACCCCCATGCAGCTTCACTGCACACACACACACAAACACACACACACACACACACACACACACACACACACACACACACACACACACTGTCCCACAACATCCTACCATTCGTCACCAGTCCTGTCCGAGGAGCCTGCTGGCCAGCCACACGCCCCCCCCTCCAAAGTCCCCTTCACTGCATAACAAAGGTGCCCCCACCCCTAACCATCTGCCACCCCTACACCTCGCCTCAACCCTCCCGTGTCCCAGCTTGGCCCTGCCCTTCCCCCCTCCGCCCCCCTGTCAGACGGCCTCACTCCCCAGCTGTGACGCTTGCCCTCTGCCTCCTCGGCTCTGTTATTAGCCAGCTGTGAGTCACATTCGGGCATCTGCTGGCTACACAATGGGCAAAACCCAGGCCCGTCTCAGTCCCTCTCCGCAGGTCCCGGGCCGGCATCCTTACCCCTGCTGCCTCCGAATCCTGCCCCACTTMCAGACCCCGTTCATCAGACTCCCCCTCGTCTGTAAATCTGCTTTCACTGATTGTTTCCTCCTTCACCTAAAAACAACCAAAACCCGTCTGTCTTAATATACTTCACTCACCTGATTTGACTTTTTAAACAACTCTTTAGCACTGCCTGCAAAACCACACTTGTCCTTCCATTCTCACACATGCTGACATGTGGCACGGAAGTGGGAAACCATTTCCCCCCTAAACTGCCTTTTACTGTTAACTGAAGTCTGGCTGCAAAAGTCCCAGGCCAGGGAGGAGAGGAGGGTCCAAGAAGGAACAGGAGCTGCACCAGTGACGTGTGACGTGCTGCGTTACAGCGGAAAGCTGCAGGCGGTCACCACTGTAACAAGGATGATGACAGACAGGCCAAACTTATAGTTCAACAACCAGGCACGTTTCAAAAAGGCTAGAGCCCCGAGCGTGTGGCCAAAAAAAATGCATTTCAAGCTGACTGAGAAAAACAGGGTGAAGGAGAGTAATGGATATTTGGCTTTAGTCCCCTGTAGGCAATGATTTCAATCAGTGTGTGTGTGTGTGTGTGTGTGTGTGTGTGTG